CAAGAATGAATGCTTGATGCTAAGGACATTGTGATTGAAGAAGATAATCATAATGTTATACTGCTTTTTTAGAATAATTTTATTTCAAAAGAACTTCTAAATCCTAAGGATTTAGACTTTCTTAAGGGTTTTAAGCAAGTACTATTTCATTTTTCTAGAAGAGAATGTAATAAGTTAGCTGATTTATGAGCTAGCTTTGCTCTTTTTTCAGAATTTTTTTTGGCAAGATGTTAGTGATAATAACATTCCCCCTTCTTTTCTAGATTTTTTGAAGGAGGAATCAATTTGTACTTAGAAGTTTGAATAAATTACTTTATGCATTTTCTTAGAAAAAAAAGCTAGAACTAGTTGTGGTGAGGGGTAAGTGAGTAGTGAGAAAATTGGTTTTAAAAATATTTAAAAATAAATTTTTATTGTTTAGTGCCCTAGCTCAACCACCCTGCACCATAATGCTGCATGTTGAATCTATATATTTTGTACATCAGGGGCTTCAACACTGTGATGGTAATTTATTGAGCTGTTATACTCATAAGTTAGCACTCCAACATTTGGAAGGTCATCATCACATTACTATAATTTAAATTTAAATTTAGTGTTTTGTTTTAAATTCATTTTTATAAAAAAAACTAGGTTAATAAAATATGGTCATCAAATTAATATCTTAAATCTTTTAAATATGCCTTGAGCCCTTTATTTTGGCCCAATCCGACTCTAATTTAACAAAATTTTGGAGTCATTGGGTTTGTTTCATTGAAACATTCAATTTAACTATAAGTTTATTTAAATTGGTGTTTGAACAATTTTAAATTTAACTTAAAATATTTTCAATTATAATACCTCAAGATTTATGCCTGATTAAGGTGATTTTTGGAAACATATTATTTTCCACCTATGTAATATTATTTATCAAAGAGTTGCTTGATGAAATTAACCTGTGTGGTGGAGGTTAAGAGAAACCCACCAAGGATGGTTAACCTATCTAAGGTTATTGTTCAAAGCATTGCTCAACAATTTTAACTTATATTTGAGAAAATCTGACTAGGATATTTGAACCATACAAGGTTATTTGTCAAAGAACTACTCTATGATATTAACCTACATACAAGATGTAAAGTGTAATCCACCAAAGATGTTTGATTGATATGAGGTTACTTGTTAGAGAATTAATAAATGGCATTAACCTGTGTCGAAGAGATCAAGAAAAATCAATCAAGAATATATGACCTACTTGAGATTATTTGTTAGAGTTTCACTCATTCACATTAACTTGTATGGAAGAAGTCAAGGGATTCTATAAAGATATTTAGCTTATCCTATGTTATTTGAAATGCCTGATAACTTTAACTTTTGTTAAAGAGTTTAAATAGAATCCCCCTAGGATCAATTATACATTGATTGGTAGGGGTGAATGTCTAATGTATCTGAAATCAAAGGTAAAGATTAGTATATCTTTAGGATGTTACTTGTTTTCCAAGATCGAGACTGTTGAGTCTATTAATTAGGTTGTTAAGCCTAAGTGAGTGTCCCAAGGCTACCAAGAGGGGGGGGGGTGAATTGGTAGTTTAAAAAATTAAAATTTAAGACCCTTTTTTTTTAATTTTGTAGAGCAACTATCTTAACAGAGACTATGACCATGCATGAGGAGTAGATGTTACATTGGGGACTATATCAAGTTTAAGATTTACTTAAAGCCTTTTTATATTTTTTGGATGCTTTTTGGAAGATTATTATTGGTAAGATTTTTTAAGATTTATAAAATATAAGAGGGCCTTTCTTGACTATAGTCATATTCGAGATTTCAACATAAATATCCCTTTAAGTATGGAGCCAAGGTTGCCCCATCATCAAAATTTGCTTCCCAAAAAATTGAAGCAATAATAGATGATAGTTAGGAGGAAAAAGAGCAATGCTTGTTTATTATTTTCATTGAGGCTTCCCTTAATAAAAATGTAACTAGGGCATTAATGTGAGCATCCTTTCAAGGTTGTAGCAAAGAATGCCACATAGCAAAATATCATTTTCTATAAATAGTGTCGAAGTATTATATGCCTGCATATTCACAATGGTAGAGAATTATAGAGTTTAAAGTCCTAACTTTATATGAAGACCCCAAACATGCAAATGAGAGAGAGTACATGCTAGAATAATAAGAAACACCATATTATTTTTATGGAAAACTCGAGAAAGGAAAAAATTATAGGGTAAATGCCATATTTTTCTTATATTAATAATCTTATTTCATTCATGCAGCTTAAGTCAATATCATGTATGAAATACTCTAATGTTTGAACTATGCGAAAATTTATACACTTTTCATAACTATCAATCTACTTGATGATATTAAATAATATTATATTTGAAATGCATATAAAGTCCATCTCCATTATATACAAAAACTCATTCAATAAAAGTTAAGTAAATTAACTAAAAATGTATTATTGATATATGCAAGAGACATAACATTCTTAAAAATTAAAACCAAGAAAAGTAGGAGTACGAGTATAGTCATTTATTACAAGCGAAATATCTTTTGTAATAAGAACAACACACAAAAATGCACAGAAGTGCTTCCTTTCCCTTCTCTCGTTCTTCCATCCTCTCTATTCTCTTCCTCTTCTAGTTTCTTTTGTTACTCTACAAGGAACACAAAATGAGGGTAGGTAACGTGGGTGGCAAAGATAATTAAAGAAAAATTATTAATAAGAGCACTTTTAGTGACTAATATTATGGTTAGCATGATACAACACCACAACAATATATGTTGTTAAGTGTAAATTATGTATTATATACTATATTTAAATTTCTATAAAAATGTTTTATTTTATTTATGTTTGTATAGAAAATGTTCAAAAATGGCAAAAAAAATTCAATTGTTAAGCAACGTCGTGGTGCAAACTTATATAAAGCCATAATGCCAAGACCAATTAATTCGAGGTACCCATTACATACAACGTAGCACTAATCTTCTCTATTTGAAAGTGTTGAAAAGGGAGACCATAGTCAATGTTATGGAATTAAACAACACTGATGCACTAGAATTTCACACTACAGTGTAAGGTCTCTTGGGAAAATAAGCACAAAAGAACCATTCCTTTCCAAGCCTTAATGCTAGATTCCCCATTCAAGTATCACAGTGCTCAAATAACATGACTATAATAGTAGAGCAGTTACTAATAAGCGGTCTTGCACATTTCAATTATTAACTATGTTATGTTATCCAGTGCCATAGTGGAGAAAATATTATAGTGTCTGGTGCTAGTTCATTTTTCACCATTGGGGTGCTACCTTATCAAGTTCCACGATTGATGAACCTAGTCCTTTGCTTACTATAAATAGTTTTCAAATTTTTTGTTTTGTTTTGGAGAGTTCAATCACTTGACTGAATTCTTGTAATTTTTAGTATATTCATTAACCCCCCCCCCCCCCCATAGAGCTCAAGTATAAGGAAGGCCAAAGAAGGTCATGATACTTTCCTTATGGAGATCTTAGCCTATTTTTATAATAAAATCTATGATTTATCAAAGGAGTGTGGAGAAGATCTTTTGATCATTTCAAGTGATAATTTTCTTATTATATCTCTTGTATATTTTATTTCAATCAATAAAATGAAAATAAATTTGCTTATTATTTCCTCCATGTCTTGCTAATTCTCATATTTTGGGCCATATATGTAGAAAACATTGTATGTATTTATGTAGACACTTATGCTTTAATAAGTGTATTGATGTTTTTAATATCTCATGAACTTCATTTAATGCATCAAATGGCCATGTGTGTAGTTAAAATATAGTATAATGTATATCCTCGATTGTGGAATGCTGGAATAATTAAGAATGTTAAAATGGAATATTTGCATGCCTAGACATAAGTTGTTTGAAAACTCTAGGTTATATGGATATAGTAAAATTTAAGGAAGAAATTAAACCTTTTTTTCACCCTTACTAGCTTGACATAGATCTTGGAATGCATATGCTATTATCCACTTATATAATTAAGAGTCTCATTAATAAAACTATGTTATTTACATTCATTAGTCAAAAATATTATATTCTACTATATATCAAAAATCTTTTTGCAATTCTTAATCTTCTTTTATTGATAACAACTGTAAACATCATTTTAATTTTTAGTAGCATCATAGGTGCATTTTAAATAAGTAGTAGTAGTTAAGTTACAATTTAATAGAATGTTTCCTCATGAATTTGACACTCTACATTTCCATTTTATTACTTGATTTAACATGTATACTTGCATAATTTAGTTTGATGTTACTAACCTTTTATCAAAAATATTTTAAGCATATTTCAGAATAGAGAGTCTCATAATAGCTCACTATAAGCCCTCCTTCATGTTTTTGGCTTGGATACCGGTGACATAATAGATGTGTTGCAATTTTAACTATAATGTTAAAATATGGGCGTATTTAGGCCAAACTATATCATATATATTTATTCTATTTGATAAAATTTTTGAAAAAAAAAAGTGTTTGTTTGATTAATTAGTTATAATTTTTAGTATTTTTTCTTTATTACACGCTTGGCAGATCTTGTGAGAAGCCCTCGCTGTTTAATCCATAAATAGAAAGGACCCAAATCAAAATTTCAAAAATGAAAAAGATTTTAAAATTTTTTTATCCAACACAAGATCAGGACAAATCTAGATATATTAAGTAGTATGTTGATGAGAGTATTAAAAGACATACTATCCAAACCAATATTTTTGAACTAAAATCAATCATAATTTAAATGATTCAAAATTCCCAATTTTGGAGAACTTTTTTTGAAGATCCAAACTTACACTTAGCTAGTTTCTTGCAAACTTGAGCAACCTTTAAATATAATGGTGCCATTAATTATGATATTAAACTTAGATTTTTCACTTTTTTTCTAATGGATAAGGCCATGATGTGGTTGAATTCTTTGCAACCAGGCTCTATGACTACATGGAATGAGTTAGCTGAAAAATTCCTAGCTAGGTATTCCCCGCATTCTAAAATTACTAAATTTAGAAATGATATCACTTCCTTTACCTACTTTAAAGGAGAATGAATTTATAAAAGTTGGGAGAGATTTAAGAAAATGTTTAGGAAATGCCCTCACAATGCCTTACCCAAATGCTTGATTATTCTAACCATTTATAATGGATTAGATGGATACCTTATATCAATCATAGGTCATGTAGCTGGAGGATGCGTAATGTTTGAGCCATTTGATGAAGCATGTGAACTAATAGAGGAAATAGCTATAAATAATTTCAAAAGTGACCTTCTGATAGGGTGAATCCTAAGAGAATAATTGGAGTCTATAAATAAGATGATTTATCGATTCTTACTACTCAGGTAGCTGATATTTCAAAGAAATTGGATATTGTTGGAGCTAAATCAAGATCATGATCATCTATATAATGGAAAGTGACTAATTTAAATTTTATTTATGATACTCATGCGTTAAGGATTTATTTGAATTTAATTGGAAGATGGAACAATCCCTATTCCAATACTTATAACCTGATTTGGAAGAACCATCCTAGGTTTAGTTGGTTAAATAATACTTGGGGCAAGAATCAAAAGAATTTGGAAAACCTAGTCAAGGCTACAGATCATTTAAGGGATCCTAGGTTTTTTGGATAAAAATCTAAAATCTAGGTTATTTAGAGATGGTTTATTAGGTGAATTTCCTTCACCTTATTTCCCACCACTCAAATTCTCTTCCCATTATGGTTTGGCTACTTTATTGATTTCAGAGGAGGAAATGTTATCACTTGTTGCACCTTTTGAGTTTACCTTAGTCAGGAAGTTCATAGACTGTCGTCTGCCCCTTGATACTATTCGCAAATATTTCTTTAACCTGAACGTTTGTGGTGCATTTTTGGTTGCAATTTTGAACCCTAAAAATGTGTTGAATAAACTTATGAATGATTTAGATTATTTTATGATTTTTTCCCACCAATCCTATTTTGTTAGCAATTGCTACATGAAGCTTTTTAAGAGGACTCTCCATTCTGATATTATCTGTGGAGTCCCCTATTGTTCCCATTTGGATCTCTTTTATCCATTTGCGCCCGCATATTTTTTCCCCCGGCATACTTCACGGATTGGGGTCACTGTTTTGAAGACCTTTGAGAATGGATAATGCAAAAATTAGTGGTTATATACCATCCATTGCTCCCATACTTTTTGAATTAGATGTTACCAAAAGACATACTTCTCAATTTTAACTCGGTGCTAAGTCTATGGGTTACATTCAATTGGTTGAGGAAGAGTTTCCTTCATATTTCATTTATTATAACTTTTGGCCATTTGAAGGATGGTTGTCCAATTTTATTTTCTAATTTGAATGCTGCTCTTCATGTAAAGGAGGGGGTTGTGGCTGATATTCATACTTTGCTTGAACTGATGATCCAGTCAATGGTTTAGTTGGGGTGGCCCAAGGTGAGTTGTTGTTGGATCAAGTTCTGAATGGTTCCCATGGGGATGGTTTTTTTTCTCCTATGCCTAATGTTGTGGGGCATAAAATTATGCGTATTTTTACTAAGGAGCCTAGTGATGTTGTTTTTTATACTTCTGGTGGTTTGCTTTCTCCTATTGTGCTTAATAAGGAGGTGGCAGATGGGATTTTGGTTGGATCTAAGGATGTGGGAGTGGATATTATGGCCTTGTCTCATGTTGTGGTAGAGGTTGAAAATAAGGCATAATTGGCTGATGGTCAAGCTGAAGTGTGTGTTGTTTCATCTGAGGTTGTGGTTACTCCTAGCCCTATTTTGGGTTAGTTTCTTCTAATCTTGTGGGGTCTAGTGGTGGTTCTATTTCTCATGCATCTGAGACTATTGTGAAGGTGCCTATTATTGCTACATCCGCTAATGGTTTGAATTCTCATTTTGTTTCTAATTTTGATGTTATTTGTGCTAGACATTTAGGTTGGCTTCGGGTGAGGTGAGTGAAGATGTTGGTGATGTGCATGATGATTATTTTCATGACTTGTATGGTTTAGATGTTATTCAAGTTGTTGATAAAGCTATCTTGCATGGCAGTAAATGTTGTAGAATGAAATCTAAGAAGTAATTATGATGTTTTGTTGAGTGGGTTTTTTTTTTCCTTTTTGGTATTTGTTGTTGGTTGCTTTTTGGCCGATAATTTGTTGGTTTGGGTGCTGTCTAGGGGATTTGATTCCCCCCTTCCTCTTCTCTATTTAGCTTTGCATGTTTTACAGGTTTTCCACTCCTTATCTGGTGGTTCTGAGTCGTTGGATTGCTCCTGGTAGCCATTTTTGGGGTGTTGTCTTGGATGCTTCCTAATGTTGGTAGCTTTGTCTTTTGGTTTCTATTTTTTTTCTTTTGTGTTTTGAATTACTTTTATTTTCCTATAATATATATGATTTCAAACTCTTAGGTCTTATTACAAATGTTTCTCTTTTAGTGAGCTTCTGATCCTATAAGGATGTATATTTTTTCCAGTATTAACGCATAGGCCCTACCGTGGTTTTTCTCCAATATATATATATATATAACAATTTTATTCTCCACTCACTCTTCTCTTACTGCCACCAACACTAGCTTATCATTGAAGGAATAAGATAAGGGAAAGGCAAAGAGGAGAGAGGAAAAAATATTTGCATTTCAGTTGCCAATCTACTCTGTCACTTTTACAAAAATTTGTTATATCGAGGAAAGTGACTGTAATCTTATCTCTATTTTCAAAAATTTTTATTATGATTGTATAATTTCTTCTTCTTTTAAATTAAATTTATTTTATTTCTTAGAATTTTTGTGAACTTTAACTAAGCAACTTTATGTATGTTATAGTTTTCATCACTCTGGTCATTCTGGCAAATTGATTGAGTAATTTTTTTAGTTAAATGAAACTTAATATGTTTTGTATGATATGCACATAATAAAGATTTTGGTATTTTTATATAATACAATTAATATAAGCATTATAAATGAAGTGAGGTTTTTATTTGGTAGTAACTATTTGTTATTACTTTTATAATATTATGATAGTAATAATGTATAAAAAGAAGTAAAGGCTGGTGATTTACTTACATTGCCTAAAGAGTAATTTAAGCCTATATAAGATGTTGGGTGGATGAGCTTTCCATTAAATATTGTGATTTGGTGTTATCCTCTAGTAATTCAAATGATTTATAGATTAAGAGTTATAAGAAGTTATTACAGTCCTAATGGGTAAGGAGTGATAATTTTGTTTTACAAGTCAAGCTACTGAATTTCTAACTACTAAAAAATCTTGGAAGCCATAACTCATACTTATTTAGTATGACTACTATAATGCATGTTACTCCACTATTGTTACTATTAATTTACAATTACGTTGATAACTATTTTACTACTACTATATTACTTCATTGTTAATACTATCAACTCTACCGGTACTCATATTATTATTAATATTACTACTGATTCACTATCAATATTACAATTATTGATTTACCATTACTAAGCACATGATTTCTATAAAGAGTATGTGATACTGATCAAGTGATACTGAGCATGTGATATAATATTCCAATTGGATATGAATATCGAATGATTGAAGCTCATGTGTATAATAATTTGATTTTACTGCATTTTTATGAATTTTCAAAGTTTTTATAAATGTTTATAGTTTAATAATTTATAGGATTTCCTTACTAGTATGACATATGATTTGGGAAAGATTGTTTACTACTTATTTGATTCAATCTCTATACTAATTTACTGATCTATTGATTTATCGATTTAGAAATTTACTAGTTTCCTTATTCTATTGTTTCTATACTACACTTTTTTCTTAGTATCATTAACATACTATTATATTATTTTACCTCTTTTATAATTATTGCATATGGTTTTAATGCTACTATTATGAACTAACTAAGGACATGCATATCATTCTTTTACCATGCTTTGAGTTTAATTTCAATGATTTCAGGTAAGGGTAGAGGATCAGGAGTGTGAGATTGATTAGTTACAGGATGCTTTAGGTTTTATTTTATGTTATTAGTTATTCTTTAAGTAAGGAGAAGATATATTTTATTTTATGATTGTGAAACTCGTAGCTATTATATACGATTTTGGAGTTTATATATATATGGGCATTAAGATTCTATGTGCATATCATTCCCCCGGCATACTCCACACATAAATGATAGGTTTGGACCCTTATCTAAGAAATGGAAGACAACTATGGGCATTAAGATTCCTAGAGCTTCACCTGAGTACCACAGTAAGAAAATCCTTACATCCCAACCATCACTGTTAGACTTGCCCCTGACTATCAGTACTACACCTCTACCTAATAGCTACCAAACCTCTTCTTGGCCATAAATAATGGATATTTCATTAGAGGATCTTTATCATTAAATATTAATTGACTGAAAGATGATAAAACATGTAGTTAGACCATTCACTCTATCCCATGATTATAATCATCAAAACACCATCACCCGACTATAGTACTTTGAACATCATCACCTGCAAGTTCTAGTCCAACCTAAAATCTACCCACACTTTACTTCTCCAACCTGATCCAAACATGAAAACAAAAAAGGATCAAAAATCTTAACCTGGACCTGAGCCCCACCAAATTTAGGTCAAGTTGACCTGACACGTGGACCCAAGAAAAGGCAAGCTCATGGAAAATATGAGAGAGGAGAGGTCAAGTATGCAATGTGAATGAGCAAAAATGATGGTGCCATCTGTGTAGTGTGTGTGAGCAATGAGGCCAATCCAAAAATTCATGCGCTAGCTGAGTTACAAGAGGGCTAGTAAGCCATAAGCATGTGCTTCCTTTTGAGCAACCCAGAGGGTGTAACCAAAAGGTGAGCAATGAGCTTACTCTAGAGCCAAGTAGAGGCATAAGTGATCTTTGAATTGATTTTAGTTTTTTGGGTCAACCTTATGTTGCAACTCAAGCTCATGAGTTTATATTTTTGAGGATAACAAATATTATGGCTCACATCTTTATGTTTCATAATATTATTTATTCTATACTTATTTTATGTGTATAGTAATATTTCAAAAAAATCATACTCCAAAATGCCAAAGACTTTAAGACAAATTAGATTAGGGTTTCTTGTAATGAAGTATGTAATTTTTCTATTCTTCTTGAGT